AAACTTAATGACTTGGAGAAGATCTGCAAAGAGGAGTGGGACAAAATCCCTCCTGAGATGTGTGCAAACATGGTGGCCAACTACAAGAAACGTCTTACCTCTGTGATTGCCAACAAGGGTTTTGCCACCAAGTACTAAGTCATGTTTTGCAGAGGGGTCAAATACTTATTTCCCTCATTAAAATGCAAATCAATTTATAACATGTTTGACATGCGTTTTTCTGGATTATTTTGTTGTTATTCTGTCTCTCACTGTTCAAATAAACCTAACATTAAAATGATAGACTGATCATGTCTTTGTCAGTGGGCAAACGTACAAAATCAGCAGGGGATCAAATACTTTTTTTCATCACTGTATATTTGATAGTATTTACATGTGACACTGAATCCTGGCTCAGGGGTAGACATAACATAGTTAATGAAATCTGTCTCCCTCCATTTAGTATGATTGTTTTTAGTTTTTATTTTACATTTAGCAGACATTCTTATCCAGAGTGACTTACAGGAGCAATTAGGGTCAAGTCCCTTGCTCAATGGTACATCAACAGTTGTTTTACTTAGTCGGCTCTGGGATTCGAACAAGCAACCTTTCGGTTACTGGCCTTAACCGCTAGGCTACTTGCCGCACTATTACGTTTTGTAATATACGTTTTTGCCCTATACATTTCATATGGTTTGTAATATACATTTTCGCTCTATATGTTTCGTATGGTATGTATTAATTTGTGGATGTCCATTATTCATCTCATATGATATGTTATGAATGACAATTCGTATGATATGTTACGAATTGCAATTTGTACAATATGTTATGAATTTGCAATACGTATGATATGTTACAATGAAGATGGCGCTGCAGTGGATAGCAGCCGTCTTACGGGATCCTGACCAATTCTGCTATATTATGTGATGGTAGCTTTTTATGTACATCATGTCCCCGTCATAATTTCCTATGACCAAAAACAACTTCTGGACATCAGAACAGCGATAACTAACCTCGATTTGGATGAACATTTCTACTTCAACGACTCCGCAACTCTGGAGGTTCTGCTTACTCCGAACGAGGCCCTAATCCCCGGGAGTCAAAAGAGGAAGCGGCGGCGAAATGGCATTATGACGAGACTATGTCGGAGAGCAAATAGACCGCCATTGCCCTCTGTTCTATTGGCGAACTTGCAGTCACTGAAGAACAAACTGGATGAGCTCTGTTCGAGACTATCCTATCAACGGGACCTGAAAAACTGTAATAACCTATGTTTCTCAGAGTTGTGGCTGAACGAGGACATGGATATACATCTCGCTGGTATTTCTATGCATCGTCAAGACCGGACCGTAGACTCGGTTAAGATGAAGGGAGGAGGGGCGTGTCTCTTTGTAAACAACAGCTGGTGCGATCTCTAATGTTAGAACACCTCATGATAAGCTGCAGACCATACTATTTACCAAGAGAGTTTTTAATCTATATTTTTCGTAGCTGTCCATTTACCACCACAAACTGATTGCTGGCACTAAGACCGCACTCAACGAGCTGTATAGGGCCATAAGCAAACAAAAAAAATGCACATTCAGAGGCAGCGTTTTTTCATGGCCAGTGATTTTAATGGGAAACGGAAATCAGTTTGACCTCATTTTAACCAGCAGGTCACCTGTGCAACTAGAGGGGACTCCACACACAGAAACGCATACAAGGCCCTCCCTCACCCTCCCTTTGGCAAATCAGACCATAACTCTATCCTCCTGCTCCCTGCTTACAAGCAAAAACTCAAACAGGAAGTACCAGTGATGCTAAGCTACAGGACTGTTTCGCTAGCACATACTAGAATATGTTCCGGAACATTGAATAGTTTACCACATTAATCACCGGCTTCATTAATAAGTGCATCGACAATGACGTCCCCACAGTGACAATATGTACATACCCCAACTTGAAGCCATGGATTACTATCAACATCCGTACTGAGCTAAAGGCTAGAGCTGCTGCTTTCAAGGAGCAGGACACTAATTCGGCTCTGATGCTCAACAGATGTGGCAGGGCTTGCAAACTCTCACGAATTAGAAAGGGAAACCCAGCCAGGAGCTGCCCAGCGATGCGAGCCTACCAGACGAGCTAAATGCTTTCTATGCTCGCTTCGAGGCAAGCAACACTGATCCATGCATGAGAGCACCAGCTGTTCCGGATGAATAAGACCTAAAAACAGATTAACATTCGCAAGGCCTCGGGGCCATCGAAATACCAGGACACGTACTCGGAGCATGCGCTGACCAGCTGGCAATGTCTTCACTGACATTTTCAACCTATCCCTGACTTGTAATACCAACTCGTTTCAAGCAGACCCCCATAGTCCCCATGCCCAAGAATGCCAAGGTAACCTGCCTAAATGACTATCACATCTATAGCCATGAAATGCTTTGAAAGGCTGGTCATGGTTCACATCAACACCATCATCCCAGACCCCCTGGACCCACTCCAATTTGCATACCGCCCCAACAGATCCACAGATGGCGCAATCTTTATTGCACTCCACACTGCCCTCACCCACTTGGACAAAAGGAATACCTATGTAAGAATGCTGTTCATTGACTACAGCTCAACATTCAACACCATAGTCCCCTCCAAGCTCATCCCAAAGCTCAGGACCCTGGGACTGAACACCTCCCTCTGCAACTGGATCCTGGACTTCCTGATGGGCCGCTCTCAGGTGGTAAGGGTAGGCAACAACACATCTGCCACGCTGATCCTCAACACCAGGGCCCCTAAGGGATGCGTGCTTAGTCCCCTCATGTACTCCCTGTTCACCCACGACTGCGTGGCCAAGTACGACTCCAAAACCATCATTAAGTTTGCTGACGACACAACAGTGGTAGGCCTGATCACAGACAACGATGAGACAGCATATAGGGAGGAGGTCAGAGACCTGGCAGTGTGGTGCCAGGACAATAACCTCTCCCTCAATGTGAGCAAGACAAAGGAGATGATCGTGGACTACAGGAAAAGGAGGGCCGAACAGGCCCCCATTAACATCGACAGGGCTGTAGTTGAGCGGGTCGAGAGTTTCAAGTTCCTTGGTGTCCACATCACCAACAAAGTATCATTGTCCAAACACACCAAGACAGTCGTGAAGAGGGCACGACAACACCTTTTCCCCCTCAGGAGACTGAAAAGATTTGGCATGGGTCCTCAGATCCTCAAAAATGTATACAGCTGCACCATCGAGAGCATCCCGCCCGGTTGCATCACCGCCTGGTATGGACCATTCTTGATATACACGGGAAACTGTACAGCGTGAAAAACCCAGCAGCGTTGCAGTTCTTGACACACTCATACCGGTGTGCCCGGCACCTACTACCATACCCCGTTCAAAGGCACTTGAATATTTTGTCTTGCCCATTCACCCTCTGAATGGCACACATATACAATCCATGTCTCAAGGCTTAAACATCATTCTTTAACCTGTTTCCTACCCTTCATCTACACTGATTGAAGTGGATTTAACAAGTTACATCAATAAAGGATCATAGCTTTCTCCTGGATTCACCTGGTCAGTCTATGTCTTGGAAAGAGTTCCTAATGTTTTGTACACTCAATGTAACATATCATACTAATCTGAATGTCTCGGATTTATGTTTACTAAATTACATCTAGTCTATGAGACCAGGCTGGACAGAAGTCTAAGTCAAGAAGCTCAAGAACATGTTATTATTATCTTATAAAAGTTTAGAAGAAAATATAAATAGAACTTACGTCACCCAGGTTCCAATGAGAGACACCAAGGAGAGGGAGACGGGGAGTAGACTCCAGAGGAACATGTCTTGGTAGTTTAGTGAGCTAGAGAGCAACAGCAGAAGTACAGTCGTGATGATCCGGGTCCAGACACTGTCTTTCTGGCACTCTGAAGATCTCTGCCTCTAGATTCCTCCACAGCAGAATCAGCTTCATCGTCACTGTGGAATCCCAATAAGTATGTCCTGTCACCAAACTAGATCATTCAAGTTTATCCAGCAGACCGACATAGCACCGGTTTGTCTGTATATATTCCACCACCCAGGCAACATTCCTGTCTTTTGAGAGCAGCAGAGGAGACTAAAGTTCTACCCACTCTACTGCCACTCCTTTTGGAAGGGAGTACCACCTTGTCCTGTCAGAGGACAGACGTGAGGAAACATGGGGTGGGCCCTCTCGACACTATCTCACTGTTTGTTTTAAATTACATAGCACACACTGTAGACTGCATAACTCTAGTTCCCCTGAGCAGTGTGGCGCTCTAGCCTACTATACGTTTCTTCGACTCCTTTACTGAACTGGAAACTAAAACTTGAACTTGAACTTTCAGATTAACTTAAAAATGTGTTATTAAAGTGTTATTAAACTTTATACTGTAGTAAATAATGAGATTGATTTGAAAGAATTGACCAACACAACTCTTGGAAGTGGAGTAGAGGAAGAGGGAGGGATGGAGGGGACTGCAGCTTTGTAGTTCATGGGTGTGAAAGTCCTGCTTTGAATGCATGTCTTGTCATCCCTGTGTTTAACATCTTGTTGCAAATTCCGGAAACTAGTGGCAAATTTGTCAAAATACAGCCCCAAATACATACAAAATTTTGAGATTTTAATTTATGTAACCTATCACACATAGGCCCACTTCAGTGACATTTACATTAAATACTTTTTTTTAAAGACATTTGTTTTGCTTTAGTAGCAACAACAAAATCCCAATACATTCCATGCAATAATTCTGATTTATGTTTATCATTGCATAGCCTGCAGAACCAACAGTTAATTCATCTCAATAGTGGCTGGCTGTTTAGATGCCAATATTCGTACTTTCTAGAAATGTATCTAGCTAGCTATATAGGTTGAATTTATGTTTGTTTATTGTAATGACTTAGAATATTTACTTATCAAATTAACGATTAATAAGCAGTGGAGCAATTGGAATCTATTTTAAACAGGGTATGTGAAGCCAGCTCTCTGGAGTCCTCATTTTCAAAACAAATCAAATCATGGCGGCCCGCGTAAGATGGAGTTTTCTACAGTTGATTCGGTCACGAAATACATCACATTTTAGGTTTGAGTTTCAAAATTTTCTATTAAATTAACAGTTCTGCTTAGGTATACCAACTTAATGAACGCCTTGCTGTGATTTCAGCACGATTGGCTGCCAATGTCGTTAGGAAATAAGCTAAGGTTGACCATACTAGCTAACGACGTTACAGTAGCTAAATGCTAACTGCCACATCGTCGATGTCAAACCTAGTCCTAGCCTAATCCCATCATCATGTTGCGCAGCTGAAATGTCCCACATTTTATAAATCATAAAGTTCAGTCTGCAATCACGGTGGGCCATGAAGTATAACAAGAACTCTGTTTACCTGGGTCTTCTGTAGTTAGCTAGCTAAACCCATCAGCATCTTGATTGAGTGAATAGCTAACTTTTTGAGTACCTAGCGAACGACGTTAGCTAGCTAATGTATCTATCTAAAACTATTCCCAGTTTTGTTTTGCAGTCTGGTCATTGAGGCATCGACTAGTCAGTGTCACCGCACAACCATAGGTATCTAGCTGATTTATCGTTTCTTTGCTTTTTGACAGTCTCAAGTTAGATTTTGCAAGGCCAACCGAAGTAACAGGTTTGGAAGGATAAACCCACTCTGTTTAAGGAATGTCCGACCATCTAAATACATGACATGTACTGTCTGTTATAGGTTTCCAATTAAGATGAGAAACCAGTTCCACACACAATGTATTGGCCATAACTTCAGAAAAGTTCCAATTCTGCCTCTGACTGGATCCACACAGTCTGCAGGTGAGAAACCGTCCTTTTTGATCTCATTCACATTTACTAACTAGAAGAACGACATTCAAAGGGTACAGTTGTCATGTTTTCTGTAGTATATACAGAGTAGGCCTACTAGCTAGTGGAACTACAGGTAACTGCCAAAATAAAGGAAACACTTGCTTAAATGTGGGATGCAAAGTATATTGAAAGCAGGTGCATCCACACAAGTGTGGTGCAGGAGTTATTCTCTTTGTGTGAATTTCTGGCAGACTAGACGCTGTGTTGCGTATTGCTGCCTTTCGCAGGTCGGAGGCCAGATTGCACATTTTGGTCCCCCCCAAAAAATGGGAAGTGGAAACTCTTAAATTGCACTCTCTAACCCTGCACCTATACACTATACCCAAAAACCCATCACATTTTTACATTACATTTTAGTCATTTAGCAGACGCTCTTATCCAGAGCGACAGAGCGACTTATTTTTCATACTGGCCCCCCGTGGGAAACGAACCCACAACCGTGGCGTTGCAAACGCCATGCTCTACCAACTGAGCTACATCCCTGCCGGCCATTCCCTCCCCTACCCCGGACGACGCTGGGCCAATTGTGCGCCGCCCCATGGGTCTCCCGGTCGCGGCCGGCTATGACAGAGCCTGGATTCGAACCAGGATCTCTAGTGGCCTTAGACCACTGCGCCACTCGGGAGATCACCCTATCCCATCCCACTACTTTGGCCCTAATATCCGGCCTGGGAGGATGGAACCCCTTTTCTCAAAACTCCCTGTAGATCTTCTGCACTAAAATCTCTCTCACCCAAATATTTTTCTGTGGCTGCAACTACCACATCTATGTTCTGTGATTTCCACTCCATCAGTGCAGTGCAGTTGATCACCATGGCTATAAACGCAAGAAATCCAACCTTACTAAAAAAAACATCCTCTCTGGCTCTCCCTTCAGGCCTACTCACCTTTGGACTGTCCTCTAGTCCAGGGGTGTCAAACTCATTTTAGCTCAGGGGCCACATGGAGGAAAATCTATTCCCAAGTGGGCCGGACCGGAAAAATCATGGTATATATAACTTAAAAACAACAACTTCAGATTGTTTTCTTTGTTTTAATACGATCAACATACAACATAAAGCTGGAGCCTGAGGACAGTGTGTCCAAAATAGTACAAGCACAACATCACTATTAATCATAAAACACGTCAAGTTTATTTGAAAATTCTAAATAAAAAGAACACACAAACACACAATGCCTCAGTGATTAACAGAACTGTTTCACAGATCACAGAACTATATCAGGGTGTCATTTCTCAGGCAGAAATGTAGATACAAATAATGAAATCCTGTTCCCCAAACAAGTGCAAGAACCACAGAGTCAAGAATAGGTTAAATATACAAATAAAATAAAAACAATTAAAAACAATAGCACATCAACATAAAAACATATAAACATAAAGCTGGAGCCTGAGGACAGTGTCCAAAAGCACAACATCACTATTAATCATAAAACACCTCAAGTTATTTGAAAGTTCTGAGGACAAAGAACACACAAACACACAATGCCTCAGTGATTCACAGAAGTATATCACAGATCACAGAACTATATCAGGGTGTCATTTCTCAGGCAGAAATGTAGATAAAAATAATGAAATCCTGTTCCCCAAACAAGTGCAAGAACCACAGAGTCAAGAATAGGTTAAATATACAAATAAAATAAATTAAAAACAATAGCACATCATGTGGTCCTCTGTAGCTCAATTGGTAGAGCATGGCACTTGTAACGCCAGGGTAGTGGGTTCGATCCCCGGGACCACCCATACGTAAAAATGTATGCACACATGACTGTAAGTCGCTTTGGATAAAAGCGTCTGCTAAATGGCATATTATTTATTATTATTATAAAAACATATAAACATAAATCTGAAAGCGTTGCTCAAACTCCCGTAACAGTCCCGTTATTTTATCTTTGAACTGCTTCATGTCTACCACATGTTGGGTCGCGCACAAATTTTTCAGACAGGGGAAGTGAGCTGCATCACCACCGGCAAGTTGCGTCTCCCACAATGACAGCTTCAACTTGAAAGAACGTATGCTGTCATAATAATGCGTGACAACTTTGTTGCGCCCTTGCAGCTGTTTGTTCAAGTTATTCAGGTGCTCTGTAACATCCACCATAAATGCAAGGTCCTGCATCCATTCTGCGGAATGAAATTCTAACACTGGTTTGCCCTTTTCTTCCATGAACTGTTCAATTTCTTCTCATAAATCAAAGAAACGCCTCAGCACAGCACCTCGGCTTAACCATCTTACCTCAGTGTGGTATGGCAGGCCATAGATGTGGTCTTTCTCTCTGAGAAGGCTGTCAAACTTTTGGTGATTCAGGCTTCTGGATCGGATGAAATTAACAGTTTGGATGACCACCTTCATGACGTTATCCATCTTTAATGACTTGCAACACAAAGCCTCCTGGTGCAAAATACAGTGAAAAGTCAAAAAATCACGTCCTCCATTTGCAGATTGCACTTTCTCTCTGAACTTTGTCACAACGCCTGCTTTTTTCCCTATCATTGAGGGCGCACCATCTGTAGCCAGGCTGACAGCGCGGGACCAGTCCACTCCGACCCTGTCCAGCGCGCCGACGAGTGCGGTAAAAATATCAGCTGCTGTTGTTGTATCTGTCATCGGCACCAACTCCACGAACTCCTCGGTGACGGTCAATGTGTCATCAACTCCGCGGATGAAAATGGCCAATTGTGCAACATCTGTAATGTCCGTGCTTTCATCAATTGCAACCGAAAACGCAATAAATGACTTTACTTTTTGCTTCAACTGGCTGTCCAAATCCACTGAAAGATCGGAAATCCTGTCTGCAACTGTGTTTCTTGTCAGGCTGATATTTGCAAAAGCCTGCCGCTTTTCAGGGCATACAATCTCCGCTGCCTTCATCATGCATGTTTTTACAAATTCACCCTCACTAAATGGTTTTGAAGCCACTGCGATTTCATTAGCAATGAGGTAGCTAGCTTTCACTGCAGCGTCACTGATGTCTCGGCTGTGAGTAAACACAGACTGCTGTTTCTTCAGACCCGCCAACAGTTCATTCACCTTCTCTCATCTCCGCTGTCCTTGAAAGTTGTCATATTTGTCGGCATGAAGACTCACATAGTGGCGACGAAGGTTATATTCTTTCAGCACTGCAACATGCTCTGAACACACCAAACATACAGCTTTCCCATTCAATTCCGTGAAGAAATAGGATGACCATTTTTCTTGGAACACTCTGCACTCTGCGTCCACTTTTCTCTTTTTTGACAGAGACATATTGGGGCAATGAGGGTGCCAAAGCACATCATGTTAAAAGTAGAAGCCGTAATAAATATCGCGGACAAAACAAAGTAGCTCATTGGCTGCACGTGCTTGACCTACTTGCTCTGCCCCGGTATAAACAGCTGGTAGAGCACGGCGCTTGTAACCCCAAGGTAGTGGGTTCGATCCCCGGGACCACCCATACACAAAAATGTATGCAGGCATGACTGTAAGTCGCTTTGGATAAAAGCGTCTGCTAAATGGCATATTATTATTATTTATTATTATAAACAGTTTGCTTGCTTAACACAATTGCTATTGCGCCATCCAGTGGACGCAATTGGAACAGCAGTTTATTTTATTGAAAAATTGCAGCGCATTTTTATACTTTACAAAATTATTATTATTATTTTTTTTTTATTTTTTATTTTTTTAATAAAAATCATCTCGCGGGCCGGATTACACCCGTTTGCGGGCCTGAACCGGCCCGCGGGCCAGACGTTTGACACCCCTGCTCTAGTCTCTTCACTGCCTCACTCAAACTCAACTGGTCTCACTTCGGCTCCCCAGCTGCAAGGGCGCCCCCACAGTTGACACAGTGCTTTCTTTATCCCAACTTTACACTACCACTGACTATGCCCTCCTGCACATTTCCCACATTGTGGGATCTCCTTTCTACACACTGCTGCAACATGTCTGAATCCTTGGTACCTAAAGCACCATAGCGGGTTCGGAACATAGGCCCTCACAGAATAGCAAATATAACCTAACCTGACCTTATCAGGTAGAAACTCTCTGTCAAAGCTCAACGAGACAGACAGGGCATTCTCAGTTTCATTGCTCAACGCTATCCCCCGGTCATCCCTTTGAGCATGATACAGGTTAAGCCCCGAGACACGTGATGCACAGTGCCTGCTGCCTCTGGGCAGAGGATGCAGAAAAAATCTAAACAATTCCACTTTTCGAAACTTTCAAAGATGTAACCGCTCCCAGTTTGTCCTTTATCGAGCATGAAACAATGTACGGTTTGGGCAAAAAGCAGGAATCCACCTTTTCCAAAAAATCTCACTCCTACCGGTCCAAAATCATCTCTGATAGGACTCCCATGGCAAACACTGAAAGTATCTACCACACCTGTAGCCGCAGGTACTTCATCCTGGTCTGGCTCAACTTCAGAGCACTCACTACTGCCGACTGATGTTCTCAAGAGCGCAAGTAGATTTATAGGTAATTGTACTTGGTTTGTATTCAGAAGAAGAAGGTGGGAACTCAGGAGACAAAGGATTGAACAAAGGTTTGTAATCAGGAGACGTAGGTCTGTACTTAGTGTCATTTTTACGCGTTTGTGTCATCACATCCTGGTTCCCGAGTTAATTAAGCAATTAACATCCCATCATGCTTAGGGTCATGTATAAAAATGCCCAGTTGCCCATCATTTTGGCTACCATGGCTAGAAGAAGAGATCTCGGTGCCTTTGAAAGTGGGGTCTCAATGGAGCATAGGGGGATTAACGGGGGTGTGTGTGTCTCAGTCACCAGATCTCAACCCAATTGAACAGTTATGGGAGATTCTGGAGCAGCGCCTGAGAAAGCGTTCTCTACCACCACCATCAACAAAACACCAAATGATGGAATTTCTCATGGAAGAATGGTGTCGCATCCCTCCAATAGAGTTCCAGACACTTGTAGAATCTATGCCAAGGCCCGTGGTGGCCCAACGCTCTATTAAGACACTTTGTTGGTGTTTCCTTTATTTTGGCAGTTACCTGTAGCTATATGCTCTAATGATTGCGGTTACAGTTGTATTGATAACAATATAGATTTATTGATGTATAATGTATTGAGTGTCCAGGAGGACAAATTATGGGAATAGGATAGGTTGACTCTTTTAATTTTGTAAGTATTTTTTTTACTGTAGGGATTACTGTTGTTTTCTTGTGTTTTGTCTATATTGTGTCTATTCCATCGGGGACCACGTTGGAAACAAGTGGAATCGCTTTAATGTGTTATTCCCTGGGTTGTACTCAGTGCATCTTTTCCCCAATCAATCAATCAATCATTCCATTGTGTTTCAGTGCGACACTTGTCAATTCAGACACAGGACACTCCAAACCCCCGGAGCTTGAAGTTCCTCCCTGGTAAGCCTGTGTTGGGGGCGGGGACCCTGGACTTCCCCTCTCCAAGCTCTGCAGAGTGCTCCTCCTTAGCCAGGTTAGTACTGTTGTTGGTTAACAGGGCAAATTGTGTTGCAATATTTGCCTTTTTAGGAGCAATTGGAAATATGAACAATGAGCAGTAACCATGACAAAACCAGACAGTATGAATGAACTCAGGTTTTCCAACGTGAATCACAAATTGTTCTCAAAACATCAGCTTGTTTGATTTTCAGAGTGTGTGAGAACCAGTGACATTTGTACATGAACTGCTGTAGGAGAACTTGAACCGAAGATAATAATTTGTGCTCTAGGAACGTATTTTTTAGAGGTTTACTGTACTGACTAGCGTAAGTTACAGTTTTGTGCATGCCTCAAGTAAAAATCAATAGCAAAGTGCAATGTGCTTCTCCACTGTTTGTTGACCCCCTTTGGTTTCCATAGGAACCTGTTTGAAATCGAAGGAGTGAAAAGTGTGTTCTATGGCCCTGACTTCATCACAGTGACCAAGGTACCCAATAAGTAAAGTTTAAACCTTCATTTACCAACCCTATCCATTTACTCTGGGATATGGTGTGCATTTAGACCATGATGACTGAATGGATCATGTCACAAATACAATTTAACATTTTCTGATTCAATTCATGGGCTATGTTCCAATTTTCGACATTCTCCCAAATTGTGCACTTGCACAATCCTTGTCATTGATTTAAAAACATAGGATTGGTATAAGCATTGGCAAGAGTGAGTTTTCACCATTGCTAAATCCATGCAAGAAAGTGTGCAAGTGCACACTTCGGGAGAAGGGTGGGGAATCGGGACAAAGCCATGTTGATTTACTAACAGGCCTTTGCATGTTTTGTCTTGCCCTTGCCAGGCAGATGACGATGTGGAGTGGACAGACATCAAGCACCATGTCATGGATGCCATCACTAAGTTCTTTGACAGTGGAGACCCCATAACCACGGGGGTGACCCACCATGAGAGCAGTGAGTATGACAGGAACAACACTCTTCTTCATATGGGTGTTGAGGGTCAATCTTCCCACGGGGGGCCAGTATAAAAAAATATGTATTCACTAACTGTAAGTCGCTCTGGATAAGAGCGTCTGCTAAATGACTAAAATAAAAAAATAAAATAAAAAAATAATCTGTACTGTACTGTCATCTTGATAAATCGCATACATATAATGAAAATGTTTTTTTTTGTATTATGAATTTAAGACTTCACCATGCTGTTCCTGTCTTAGGTCACTCTGAAGATGATGATGAAATTGTTTCAATGATTAAGGAGCTTCTAGATACACGGATCAGGTAAAGTTTCAGTGGGGTCTGAAATTATTGACACTGTTGATAAAGATAAGCAAAAATGACTGTACAAAATAAATAATTATAATATTGAGCCATGTATGCAAAAACAAAAGGGAACTTATATTATTTTGTACTAATACAACTGCTCAGAGAAAGAGATTTTGTTTAAAAAGTAATCATTGTTTTTCTCAAAAAAACAGGGGCCAAATTTATTGACACCCTTGTTTTCAATACCTTTCAAGGATAATGGCATTGAGCGATTTGAGAACCCATTGGGAGGGATCTTGGACCATTCCTCCATACAGAATCTTTCCAGATCCTTGATATCCTTCATCTGCGCTTATGGACTGCTCTCTTCAATTCAAACCACAGGTTTTCACTAGGATGGCCATTGCAAAATGTTGATATTGTGGTCAATTAAACATTTTAGTGGATTTCGATGTGCTCTGGGTTATTATCTTGCTGGAAGATCCACTTGTGCCCAAGTTGCAGCCTCCTGGCAGAGGCAACCAGGTTTTTGGCTAAAATGTCCTGGTACTGGGTAAAGTTCATGATGCCGTTGACCTTAACAAGGGCCCCATGGCCCTCCCGAGTGGGGTCAGCATCGCAGTGTTGCAGCGTCACTACAGCCTGGGGTTCGATCCCAGGCTGTGTCATTATCGGCTGTGACCGGGAGTCCCATAGGGCGGCGCACAATTGGCCCAGCGTCGTCCGGGTTAGGGGAGGGTTTGGCCATAAGGGCTTTACTTGGCTCATCGCGCTCTAGTGACTCCTTTTGGCGGGCCGGGTGCCTGCAGGCTGACTTCGGTCGTCAGTTGAACGGTGTTTCCTCTGACACATTGGTGCAGCAGGCTTCTGGGTTAAGCGAGCGGGTGTTAAGAAGCTCGGTTTGTCGGAGGACGCATGACTCGACCTTCACCTCTTCCGAGCCTGTTGGGGAGTTGCAGCGATGAGACAAGACCGTAATCACAAAATTGGGGAGAAAAATAAAGGCCCCAGGACCAGTGGAAGCAAAATAACCCCATAACATCAAATATCCACCACCATATGCATCTTTCTTTCGACGCAATACCCACAACTTGTGTACGTAGCCAAAGAGCTCTATTTTCATGTCATCCAACCAAAGTAAATGCCTGGAGTTTGCTAAACAACATTGGCACTTGGATTGGAACCGGTGCTATGGTCAGATTACACGAAAATAGAGCTATTTGGCCATGCACACCAGTGGTGGGTTTTGCGTTAAAAGAAAGATGCATATGGTGGTGGATCTTTGATGTTACAGGGTTATTTTGCTTCCACTGGTCCTGGGGCCCTTGTTAAAGGTAGATTCAGCGATTATAACATAGATGCAGAACGTAAACAGCATAGTGGGTCATGCTGTGAACAGTGTGAAGCGAACCCATATCAAGGGTGCCAATAATTTCGGACCTGAATGTATATAGTGATTTCGGTCATAATCATAAAAGATCATGAGATTTTAATCCCACCCCTAGCTACTCTCAGCCCATTCCACCTATCTCCGTAGACCACCCTCAGGCAGATTGTTTGGGCACTGAAGTTGTTCCACAACCAAATTATAGAAGTGATGTTGATATGAAATAAAGACTATAGTAATATTATCTTCAAGGACAGCTCAGTACAAATTCTCCCATCCCCTTCCCCCTCTTAAACCTCTCCTCTTCTTCCTCCTTCCTCCCCTCCATTCTTCTCTCCCTCCTAGTTTTTAATAACAATTGTAATAATACCTGTTATGTTGTTCAATGACAAATACACTAACCTAATAAACCCTCCCATCTCCCACAGGCCCACAGTGATGGAGGATGGCGGTGATATAATATTTAAGGGCTTTGAGAACGGCACGGTAAAGCTGAAGCTGGTTGGCTCGTGCACCGGCTGCCCCAGCTCCACTGACACCCTGAAGAATGGCATCCAGAACATGCTGCAGTTCTACATCCCGGAGGTGGATGACGTGGAACAGGTGAGAGGCAGAAAGGAGAGGGAGAATGGAGAGAGAGAGAGAAGGAGGGAGGGAGGGAGGGACAGGGAGGAGGGGAAGAAGAGAGTGAGAAGGAGGAGGGAGAAACCCATAGAGGCAGAATGAGGATAAATGGAGAACGTGAGGAGGGAGGGACAGACGGGGAAGAGGGGAACAGCATTAAGCTTAGTTATGTCTGTCAGTTATTGATAGATGGATTTGTATGTTTAATGTAATGACTAAAATATTCCACCCCGATACTGTATAACTGTGTAAACTGTGTTAGAGTTATAAGACAATAAAACCACTAACAGGGAAGGGGGCCTAGAAACTGTTAAAGTTAAACAGGCCGCCTAAAGGTGGGCGGAGCAAGGTCCTTTTTGTGTACACATATAAAAAGACTGTTCTTTTTAGCGGGAGAGCTCTCTGAATAAACCTGATAATTGTATACTGAGACTGTCTGATTCATTGAACTGGAGCTTTACAACCTTCAGGACTCAGACAGAGATATTGAAAAGTTCAGTTAGAACATTTGAGATAGAAATTCTCGTGACAGTTATAGCTGTTCTTTTTGTTTTGTTTCTGTAGGTGGAAGATGAAGTGGATCATGTCAACGCAAACGTTTTCACAGAGTTGGAACGCAAGTTAGGAGACATATAAAACTACTGTCGCTGTTGTCTTTCATTTACTCAAATACTGTATATGCACCTGTTACAATGAAGCAAGACCACATACTGGCGCTTACACTACCGGTCAAAAGTTTTAGAACACCTACTCATTCAAGGGTTTTTATTTTTACTATTTTCTACATTGTAGAATAATAGTGATGACATCAAAACAATGAAATAACACATATGGAATCATGTAGTAACCAAAAAAAGTGTTAAACAAATCAAAATATATTTGAGATTTGAGATTTTTCAAATAGCCACCCTTTGCCTTGATGACAGCTTTGCACACTCTTGGCATTCTCTCAACCAGCTTAACCTGGAATGCTTTTCCAACAGTCTTGAAGGAGTTCCCACATATGCTGAGCACTTGTTGGCTGCTTTTCCTTCACTCTGCGGTCCGACTCATCCCAAACCATCTCAATTTGGTTGAGGTCGGGGGATTGTGGATGCCAGGTCATCTGATGCAGCACTCCATCACGCTCCTTCTTGGTAAAATAGCCCTTACACAGCCTGGAGGTGTGTTGGGTCATTGTCCTGTTGAAAAACAAATAATAGTCCCATTAAGCCCAAACCAGATGGGATGGGGTATCGCTGCAGAATGCTGTGGTAGCCATGCTGGTTAAGTGTGCCTTAAATTCTAAATAAATCACAGAGAGTGTCACCAGCAAACACCCCCACACAATAACACCTCCTACTCCATGCTTTATGGTGGGAAATACACATGCTGAGATCATCTGTTCACCCACACCGCGTCTCACAAAGACACTGCGGTTTGAACCAAAAATGTCAAATTTGTAATTCCACAAATTAACTTTTAAGAAGGAAAACCTGTTAATTGAAATGCATTCCAGGTGACTACCTCATGAAGCTGGTTGAGAGAATGCCAAGAGTTTGCAAAGCTGTCATCAAGGCAAAGTGGCTATTTGAAGAATCTCAAATATAAAATATATTTTAATTTGTTTAACACTTTTTTGGTTACTACATGATTCCATATGTGTTATTTCATAGTTTTGATGTCTTCACTATTATTCTACAATGTAGAAAATAGTAAAAACCCTTGAGTGAGTAGGTGTTCTTAAACTTTTGACCGGTAGTGTATATTACAATGTAAAACTTTTGACCGGTAGTGGATACTGTCTGTCACTTCCATTGGAAAGGCTGAAAACTCTGAAGATGGCTTTCATGTTGTTATAGTTTTGATATTTCTCTGCAGGTTGATTTACAGTGATTTACTTTACATGTTTTTGAAAATAGTATTTTCTGATGAAAAGGACCTTCTGTGATGGTTTGAGTTTTAAGGGATATGGTTTATATCTATCCCTAGGCCAAGCATGACCAATTGTTTATATGAAAATGTATGATTACAAGATATTACCCAATTACAACTACTAAATTATTTAGCTGTATTTGTTTCTTTGTGAATACATTGTTTAGAAATCTACACACAGTAATCACATTTTTGGCATGGGCACATTTATATTTAATCTCTCGTGGACAGACTACGTAAACAAATGGTACCGTAGCTCTGTCATGATACAATGGGATAACGAGCAGCATTAGTTACGGTGCTCAGGTTTTTCATCACTGGTTATTTAGACAAATCCCGATTTCGCAGGTGTTAGCATCGTTAAAATGTTGGAAGGGGAGGGGACATTTGGCCCATAGACTTGCCCGTAACTTGCAAAGAGAGAGGGTGGAGCACATCGTTCCGGTTCTGGTCCTCGTTCTATATTTTCTCTTAACATGTATGGACCCAGAACTTAATCGAGCATCTGACCAATTATGCAGGACTTTAGTTCTGGGTTAATCAAGGTTAATGTATAGTCATCATATAGACAGCAGTACATATACTCCCAAAGAAAGCTTAATGTGACAAGGAATACTGTGATAAATGCTGTGCAGTGATTAATGCTCTTTGAATGGATACCATCACCCATTTGCTTGTATACGCATTGCAATTGTAACAGCTCCCTATTCCCGATACTGAAGTTAGAATCATACTAGTTTCACAAAGGAAAATGTAATGGTTATTTTGTCCCATTCGTGGAATCCTCTCATTGTATTCTTGTATTGCTCTCGTTTTCAGAAACCAATACTTGTGGGAATGTCCTAAATGTGAATACACTGTTGATATTACTTTGCTGTCTTTATTGAGTTGATGTTGGAAAGAATCAGATTTATATGAAGACACACACAGTACACTGAGTGTACAAAACATTAGGCACACCTTCCTTTATATTGAGTTGCACCCGCTTTTGCCCTCAGAACAGCCTCAATTTGTCGGGGCATGGACTCTAATATAATAATAATAATAATAATAATAATATGCCATTTAGCAGACGCTTTTATCCAAAGCGACTTACAGTCATGCGTGCATACATTTTTGTGTATGGGTGGTCCCGGGGATCGAACCCACTACCTTGGCGTTACAAGCGCCGTGCTCTACCAGTTGAGCTACGAAAGCATTACACAGGGATGCTGGCCCAATGCTTCCCACAGTTGTGTCAAGTTGGCTGGTAGTGGATCTCTACTCCGAATAGCTCGCTCCATCTCATCCCACAGATGTTCAAGTGGATTGAGATCTGGTGACTGGGCAGGCTACTGCAGTAAGCTGAATTCACTGTAATGTTCGTGGAACCATTCCTGGACATTCCTAGCCCTGTGGCATGGGGCAATATCCTGCTGAAAAAAATAATTTGCAGATGGATACACTGCTGCCATGATTGGCAATGATGTTCAGATATCCTGTGGCATTCAAACATTGCTCCACTTTTATCAAGGGGCCCAATGTGTGCCATGAAAACACCCCACACCACCACCAGCCTGCAATGTTGACATGCGGAATGATGGATGCATGTACTTGTGGTTTTCTCCATGCCCTAATCCTCCCATCAGTGTGAAACAGCAGGAACTGGGATTCATCAGGCAATGTTTTTCCAATTCTCCAGTGTCCAGTGTTTTCGTTCCTTAGCCCACTGCAACCACAGTTTTTTGTTTTTTGCTGAAAGAAGTGGAACACTAAGGTTGTTGGCTGCCATTCCCGATTCGTGTCAAGGTACGACAAGTTGTTGATTATTTTATGAGTCTTTGGGCACGATGGTGTACTGGACTGTCAGTTTACTAACTGTAGCCCATCTGTTGCTCTGCACAATTCGTGTCAGCCTTCTTTGTCCTTTTTCATCAATTACCTGTTTTCAACCACTGGCCTGCTGTTGGCTGTATGTCCTTTGGGTGGTGGACCATTCTTGATACACACGGGAAACTGTTGAGCGTGAAAAACCCAGCAGCGTTGCAATTCTTGACACACTCAAACCGGTGCGCCTGGCACCTACTACCATACCCCATTCAAAGGCACTTAAATATTTTGTTTTGCCCATTCACCCTCTGAATGACATACACAATCCATGTCTTAATTGTCTCAAGGCTTAAAAATCCTTCTTTTACCGGTCATCCCCCCTTCATCTACACTGGTTGAAGTGGTGGTGACATCAATAAGGGATCATAGCTTTCACCTGGTCAGTCTATGTCATGGAAAGAGCAGGTGTTCCTAATGTTCTGTACACTCAGTGTAATATTTTCCATATAATTATAATTTATTTCTCACACAGTATTTAACATTTTCTCCAAGTTGCAACAGAGCAGCAGTGATACTTCAAGCTTTTCCCCCAGTGTGGGTTGCATTTATTGTTCGTCTGTAGACTATTTAGCCACTGGTCGAGGATGAGCCTTGTTACCGGTAATAACTCCTTACATGTATCATGAGTCATGACTCATGACCGTAAAATAAACAAAATGACACTACACCTGTACATAGACCTGACCCCATTCCAGAAGTTACAGTGCCTTTAGAAAGTATTCACACCCCTTGACTTTTTCCACATTTTGTTGTGTTACAGCCTGAATTTAAAATTGATTAAAATAGATTGTGTGTCACTGTGTCACATCTCCTCCCGTTGCTCCCCTCCGGTGCTCTGATTCGCCGGTCTACTGAGCCACCGGTCTGAGCGCACCACCTCGGCAACACCGGAATGGAAACCCAATGCACCCTAATCACCTCCAGCACACCTGCACCTCATCATCTCATCACCACCCCTATTTAGCCCTGGACTGTTCTGTATGATGTTGTGTGTGATTGTTAAGCTTTGTGTCGTTTACTCTATCTTTGTTATTTCTCTTGCTCATTGTTAAGTAAACCTTGACCTTGTTAATTCCTGTGTCTGCGTCCTGCCTCTTCGTATACTCAGTACGCGTCACAGAATCACACACCAAACAAAAATGGATGCAACAGGAGTTTCCCAATGCCTCGACCAGCACCAGCAGCAGCTTGCCCAG